AACAAAAAAAGGGTATTATATTGTGTTTGTACGCACTAAATCCATTAAAGTGTATTTTTTTTTAAATAGCATTTTAAAAACTGGTGCGCAGTTAACGTGCTTTGGAGTCAACAAGGCAAACGGTGCTACAGTATATAGAAAAACTGAACTGTCTTTTCTTGTATATAGACATATTCATGTAAACAAGAATGCTCTGTGGGATGTACCATTTAAAGCATATCTCATTCTTGTTAAAATTGATATACAATATATTGTCGGTACAGAAGCCTTTTGTAAAAGAATGTTTATAAAAAAATGATCTTTCCAATAGAAATTGCAACCAGTTGTTTACAAAATTTGCAACCATATTAAATTATGGCTTCCTTGTATGTGAGTATTCTGTGCATTGCTAGTGAACAAACCTACTCCAGAAATGTAAGTTCCTCCTCATGTAGTTGGCTCACTGATGCCCAGTAATTTTTCTCATTAGTACTTTGGAATCATGTGACAGTAACAGGAAGCTCCCCACTGAGTAAGTATGGTGTGGATTCAGGAAATAAAAGCTCTGTGGAAGCCATGGAGTTGATTTACTAAAGGCAAATACTGTAGACTGTTTCACTTTGCAAGGGAATTAGCTACAGAGTGTAGTGAATACAGTGAAACTCTGCTGACTTCCATCATCAAAACATGTTCATGGAACAATGCTGTTTTTTTATTTTTCATTCATGTGATTATTTTTTGCAAAGTGAAACTTCACCACATTCACTATTCACTGTGATTCTGCCCAGGATTTCAAAACACTGTTAAAATGTCAAATCGCACATTAACATTCATTTCAATGGCACCTAAAAACGCGGGGCAATTCTGCCGTGATTGTCACGCGACAAATCGCATTGCAGTTGTGCAAACCAAAGTGTGCAACATGCGTCGTGTGATTTGTTTTGCATGATTGCAGTGCGATCATGGCAGAATCTCCCCACATTTTTAGTGTCATTGAAATGAATGGCACTTGAACATGCTGATGTGTAATTTGACATTTTAACAGCACTTTTTGAAATTGTGGGCAGAATCGCTGTGATTCTGTCCGCGATTCAAAATGCCTATGTGAACAGAGTCTTAGATCTTGGGCAAATCCCCCTGTAATGTGCAACTTCCCTTGCAAAGTGAAGTCTATTTGCCTGTAGTAAATTAATGCCTGTGTGTGTTCCAATACAAACAGGTAGGATTATTCAATGGAATTTGCAACATCTATTGAATGAATATATAACTGATCAGAAGATGATTTTTTTTTAGTTAGAGTGGCACTTTATTAAATTAAATTAATATTTTATGTATTTATTATTTTCTTGATTTAATTTATTATTAACTTATTATTAAACTTCTTTTTTCTTGATTTATCATTATTAAAACATTTTACTTTGGTAACAGTAGATTTACTCGGACAATTTAAATAAAAATAGACTCAAACACTCAATAAACAAAAAAAATATTTTATGTATTTATTATTTTCTTGATTTAATTTATTATTAACTTATTATTAAACTTCTTTATTATCAAATTGATTTATCATTATTAAAACATTTTATTTTGGTAACAGTAGATTTACTCGGACAATTTAAATAAAAATAGACTCAAAACACTCAATAAACAAAAAAAAAAATATTTTATGTATTTATTATTTTCTTGATTTAATTTATTATTTAACTTATTATTAAAGTCTTTATTATCAAATTGATTTATCATTATTAAAACATTTTATTTTGGTAACAGTAGATTTACTCGGACAATTTAAATAAAAATAGACTCAAAACACTCAATAAACAAAAAAAAATTGTATGTATTTATTATTTTCTTGATTTCATTTATTATTAACTTATTATTAAAGTTCTTTATTATTAAATTGATTTATCATTATTAAAACATTTTACTTTGGTAACAGTAGATTTACTCGGACAATTTAAATAAAAGTAGACTCAAAACACTCAATAAACAAAAAAAATAACCCCACCTTTAATTCAGTCTGTTATTGGGCTCAACATAGATGAGTATATCTGGATTTTGTGCACCCAATCTATTCAGTGTACTCCTTGCAAGGAAACATCAAACTATTTGGTTGAGGCAATTTTGGGAAAAATATTATTCTACCCATCTTCCTGATGGTACAGTCCCTGATTACCAGTGTTTTGTAAGGCCTTCATACATTATACTCCCTACTTCTACTAGGTGGGCTTTTCTACTACAAGTTAGGATGGTTAATAAAATCTAATGGTGGCACTTTAGGATTTGCCATCACATCTTCACACAACTTGGCCAATCTGGGAACTGAAACATAAGAGTGGCCTTCCTTTTTTTAAAGTCGTTACCTTTCTTTACAGTAACCTGCTGCCTGATCATCCAAAGACACTCTCATCTTACCACATCTAATGCAGGGCTGTCTGTTTAGTATTGTTCTGGACATTAATATTGACATTTTATAGATAGGTAACTCCTATCCTCATATTGATTAGTGCTTCCAAATTAATAATAACTACCGCAGTAGAAAACAGACACAAAAATATACACTCAGTATCTTTCCAAATAATTGTTCTGTTTATTTGGTGCATTTAAAGTTTTTTTATACACAGGATTATGTAGGTATCACAATACTGTTACAATTGTACTTTTATGGTAACAAGGGGCGTTACATAGACAGTCCAATTTCTAATCAGGACTTGAAGGAATGCAAACGTAATCAAAACATTATTAATGCTGTGTGCACAATGAGTGCAGTGTACAACATAGGCAATGCATACAAAACAGAATACAATTTTATACCGAATTTACAAATTTCCTTAATAGTATGAAGACTTTTTCACGGGTATTGGTCACCCTCAGGGGTGCATTTTGAGCCTCCATTTCTTTACGATTCTAAAAATGGAAACATTCTCAGTGTCAAATACTTTTTTGAAGACCAAGAGGACAAGAACGGTCTGCTTGCTTCTCTAATCCGCACATGCCTGGAAAGTATGATAGGTGGTTTGAGGGCAGCAAAACAGCCTGTAGGAAAAAAAACTGCAGAAACCTCAGGAAGTGGTGAAACTAACGGAACTAATCCAGATGGGAAATTGAATTTTGATGAAGCAACATATGGGGGTTGATTTACTAAAAACTGTAGAGTGCAAAATCTGGTGCAGCTCTGCACAGAAACCAATCACAATCTAACTTCAGCTTGTTCAATTAAGCTTTGACAACATTTGATATGCAGAGCTGCACCAAATAAACCCCATGGGAATCAATATAGTAATCAAGATGGGAATCAAGATATCACTTAGCAGGTACAGTAGGTCATCAAGGAACAGACCAGGGTTAACAAAAGACCGCCAGTGAGGTGCCAAACCTAAAGGAACAGTCAGCAGCACCAGCAACAGGACGGCAGGTGAAATGCTAAGGAACAGGTTGGGGACAGTAATAGGCAAAGCAGCAAGGTGATTGCACCGGCAGGAGACTTTCAATAGCAAGTCAGTAGCAACAGACCAGGACAGTAACAGATCACAAGTTGAAGCAAGGCAACAGATAAGGTCAAAATACCATTGAAGACAAGTCTGAAACAGGGGGATGCAGTTTGAAATCAGTGGTACCGTGATATTACACTATAATGTCACTATATACCTGGAGTTCTAGGTGTGAATCTGGTTGTTACGGCATAAAGAAATGGTTACATGGCTCTATCTACTGTCTTAAAACGAGGGATAATCTTTTTATTTTTGGGACATTTGATGGATTGAGACACATCTTCTGCTCTAAGAAAGTTTTACTGTGCTATGCTCTGCAGCCAAAAAGCTTGTCAGAAATCTTTTCTTGAACAGCCAGTAAATAGCAAAGAATTAATATGGGGATGACACTGTGCAGAAAAAAAAAAAACTATTCTAGATGTACAGTATTACATGGCATTTTCTAGTTGGCCACATTTCTGTTTAAAATACAGTCTTCACAACATTAAACAGAAATGGCCTCAAGTTCAAAATTAATCTTATAAAGTATTATCTTACTGAAAGAGTAGTGGATGTTCGTAATACTTTTCTAGCAAAGGTAGTGAGTTGATCGCTACTTTAATGGCTTTAAATATGCTTGGGACACACATAGATCTCTACTCAGACAAAAAAGTTAACAAAAAACAAAAGCCTAAAAAAAAATAATAATGCCCCTCAAAAAACCCAAATAAAAAATACAAAAGCATATATAAAAAGAAAAAATGGGCAGACTCGATAGGCCACTACACTAGGTCTTATTTCTGCCATTACTTTTCTGTGTTTCTTTAGAAATGTAGGCACAGACTATTGTAAAAGAGCAGCGTCCACGATGCACTGTTTCCCTTTTAAATAGCTGTATGTCTATTCCCTTTTAAGCTGTGATAGCATCTTCAACTGAGCATGCCTAGAGCACACACAGCACTGGAAAACAGACAAGAAATCTATACAGGCAACCTGATGATGTAAAACGTACAGCATGCAGCTCTGTTTATCATGGGTAAGATTAGAATAAATATTTAAGCTGAACATTATTTAAACTGAGGACAGCATCCTATTTACCGTATTGTGTCAATATTTTGTCCGTGAGAGCTGTGTAAAAACATTTCAATTTACTAATGAAAGGATAGAAAATGATTGTATTTGTGGTTTATTTATTATGGCCTCTGGAAACCCTTGCAAAAGGTATACAGACTAACTCAGGGATGTAGATGACAGTGAGCTATCAGATGCTGAGCTGGAAAATGACGCAGTAAAAATAGAAAGGCATCTTATTTAGGAAGTGGATTTCGAGGGAGCAATTAACATTTCATAGTAGATAGCAGATAAATCTTTGATGGTTACTTACAAGCACATTGTGTCCTTGCCATATGTCATTGTTATAGTTGGAATATTGTTATCTGTACCTTTAGCATAATATTTTTACAGCTGTGTATTATAATATATATATATATTTATACACACACACACACTATTGCCAAAAGTATTGGGACACCCCTCCAGAAGCACCTAGGCATGCAGACTGCTTCTACAAATATTTGTGAAAGAATGGGAGCTCAGTGAATTCAAGCGTGGTACCGGGATAGGTTGCCACCTGTGCAATAAGTCTATCTGTGAAATTTCCTTGCTACTAAATATTCTACAGTCAACTGTTAGTGGTATTATAACAAAGTGGAAACAACTGGGAACAACACGATGTGGTGGGCCACATAAAATGACAGAGCGGGGTTAGCACATGCTGAAGTGCACAGGAGTCACCGACTGTTTGCAGTGTCAATAGCTAAAGACCTCCAAACTTCATGTGACCTTCAGATTAGCACAACAACAGTGCGTAGAGCTGCATCCAAGCCTTACATATCCAAGTTCAATGCAAAGTGTCAGATGCAGTGGTGTAAAGCACGCTACCACTGGACTCTAGAGCAATGGAGATGTGTATTCTGGAGTGACAAATCACGCTTCTCTGTCTGGCAATCTGGTGGACGTGTCTGGGTTTGGCAGTTGCCAGGAGAACGGTACTTGCCTGACTGCATTGTGCCAAGTGTAAAGTTTGGTGGAGGGGGATTATGGTGTGGGGTTGTTTTTCAGGGGTTGGGCTTGGCCCCTTAGTTCCAGTGAAGGGAACTCTTAAGGCGTCAGCATACCAAGACATTTTGGACAATTTCATGCTCCCAAGTTTGTGGGAACAGTTTGGGGATGGCCCCTTCCTGTTCCAACATAACTGCCCACCAGTGCAAAAAGCAAGGTCCATAAAGAGTTTGGGGTGCGGGTACTTGACTGTCCTGCACAGAGTCCTAACCTCAACCCAATAGAACACTTTTGGGATAAATTAGAATGGAGACTGTGAGCCAGGCCTTCTTGTCCAACATCAGTGCCTGACCTCACAAATGCGCTTCTGGAAAAATGGTCACACATTCCCATAAACACACTCCTAAACCTTGTGGACACACTTCCCAGAAGAGTTGAAGCTGTTATAGCTGAAAAGGGTGGGCCAACTCAATATTGAACCCTACGGACTGAGATGCCATTAAAGTTCATGTACGTGTACAGGCAAGCGTACCAATACTTTTGGCAATATAGTGTATATATACTGTAGTTGATTCAACTCGCCAACATTCACTCTAAACAAAATTATTGTAGCCTTCATTTTTATTAGTATTATATGGTCAACACAACATTACAGTTCATTTTGAGCCAACAAATCTGGACTTTGACCATCACACCTTGCACATGCCACTTTTAGATCCAGTCATCTAACCACTCAACCTTTAACAGGTATAATATATATATAAATGTATCTACTTGAGCATTCTAGAGTTCTAAAAGTCAACAATATTATGTTGTTCCATTTCAGTTTTTTTAAAAATTGGTGGCCAGAAAGCCTGACATCTTTGCCTGATGGGTAATGTGCCAACAGCAGTAAAGCACTGCCTAAGTTACCAGCACCTCTTAAAAGAACAGATATGGATTGGAGATGTAACAATTCCTGAACAGGTACTAAAATTGTATTATTACTTTTGTAATTTTTCATATAAGCATTAAAATTGCTAATGATAAATGTCTGTGATATAAATGAATATTGTGCTTGAATCCCAATGTCAAGCTCCCCTTTCCACCTACCCGCTAATCCCAGGTTGCTGTATATTGTGACACATCAGGAATTTATTTATGCAGACTTGTAAAGTTTTACAAATAAATCAAATGTTATTTGTCTATGGGTAATTTGATATGTAGCTATTCTTCAGATGAACAGAGAGCCATGCTGGCTCAATATGGTGAACAATGGTGACGTCAAGTGGTTGACAGCTGTGTGAGATAGATTTTTTAAATATGTGCAGGCAGGGTAAAAGGTATATATGTGTATATATATATATATATATATATATTTATTTATTTTTATTATATATGCCTCATCATCATTATCAGTTTAGGTCCTTTAATGAGTGATCATTACATTAGGTGGCCTGTGCTTTTTATGAGCCTAGGGTCAGTGTCCCCTTTGTACATTACTATTTGCCTATTAAACAGGAGCCCAAATCGCTTATTAAAGTGTTATTTTAGGGTTGTGAAATACTTTTTTTAATTATTTTGAGAACTGACCCACTAGTTACATGCATTCTATTATAGATTAGGAGAAGAGAAGTAATGCATTTGTTGAAAAATATTGTTGGGTGAGCAAATACGGTTTGTCTGAACTGATTCTGATACTCATTTTCATTTGATTGACTTATTTTACCATTTGCCATTATGTCACTTTGTTTTTGGGGGTTTTTTGCTGAAAAGAGTGATAGATTGCTGCTGATACAAAATAGCATTCACAATTTAATGCAATATTCTTAGTATTTGTAGAATATAGCAGAGCAGTTGCAATCAATCTCTGTGTAAATATGTCATTTACATTATACTGTGTTTGTATTACTGTATATAACATTAGCCATCTGTAAACTTAATAAAATAATCTAATATATTCCTTTGCTACTGTCCATAAATTGTAGCATATACTTAAATGCTACAATTTAAGTATATGTAGTATATACTGTATGTCATGTTTTACTAAGTACAAAAAAAATGAAGGTATTTACAGTGAATTTGTTTTTTAAACTTAGTAAAACATGCTGAATATACTGAAAAACAAATCTAAAGCTCAATACTTGTACAAAACATACAGAGTATGATCTGCTCTACTAAATGCATACTTGATGTCATATATGTAAATAAATAAACCTGTTCTCCTTTCTGGAATATGGCATTTAAAGGCCATTGTGTGCATTATATTCTCCTATTACCATTGTAAGCTACATTATTCATAATACATAAGGGGAGTCTTAAAGTATATTTAAAGCCAAGACCATAGTGTTAAATACCCTGTCAGGTTTAAATTGACTATATTTTTCTCTTCTGAAGAGACTCCCCTTCTTCATTTTTACGGTTGACCATTATCACCAAAATAGATACCTGAAATGTTACAGTTGCAACTAGAACAGTATTAGAGGGGACCATACGCATTAGAGGCACCTGTTCTAGGGTCCACATGACAAGTGTCACTAAGCTAGAGTGATTTCTTTTTACTTCCTTTTGTATAAAGGGGCTTTCTCTTGTGCTGTTACATATGCCTGACATTAATAAAATGACTCCTTTTGTTGCTTTCACAAATATTTGATGACATGACAGGCATCTTAGTGTCAAGTTTTTAGTTACCCTTTTCAAAAGGATCTTATTAATGTTTTTATTTTTAAGGAGCCCCATGAAACAGGCCTTCCTCAACATGTCAAGATAGTAGAAGTTGGACCAAGAGATGGATTACAAAATGAAAAGGTAAAACATCACTAGATGAGTGTTTTGGATAAAGAGCAGGGTCCCTAAGGGCCCATTCACATCAGATGCAGTTGGATGTATTTTTGACTGTGTTCCTACTGCATAGATTGCAGTGCACAGCAGTGAAAAAAAGTAGAGCAAGCTGCCTTTGTTTGCACGGCAAACATGCAAAAAGATGCACAGATGCATGCAAGTGCATCACAATGCAATGCAGTGCACATAGAAGCCCAAAGAAAGAAAGAAGAAGGAAGTGACATCAAAGGACAAATGCATAGCAAAAAATGCATTGCAAACGTGCATAAACACACCTAAGAACTTGCGTCAAACGTATGCCAATGCTCAGTAAACATGCAGTTTCTGGTGTGAATGGGCCCTAAATGTTTTAATTCAAAGATCCACATTAAAAAAATGTTACCGCACTGGGACCCAAGAAGAAAATATTTAGCAAAATGTCAGCAAGGTCACACAAAGACTAGTGACAAAGGATGAATAATAATAATAAAAAAAACAAAAAACATACAAACAGTAAAAGAATGTGTTTCTATTCCTGTGTATTCATTATTTTTATTTATTTGTAAAGCAGTCGAGTGAAAAGCTAACTGGTATTAGTACAACAAGTATAATTAAAAACAGAATAGATTCCTGAGTGTCATTCCAATAGGCTTTTGAAGGATCTAGAGCATCCCTGGGCACCTCAAGGAGCAAATATTTGTTTTGCCCACACTGTGCTGACAGTAGGAGAGGCTTAAAGGGGCACAGTTAACAAGATCTGGAACCAACACACTGCATACATAGCACATATGTATCACAGTCCTTGTATTCACAAAAGATTCTTTAAATACAGTGACAGTTTGGCTTCTGCATATATTTGCAAATGTGTGCAACTAAAACCTCTGTTTTTAACAAATTGGTAAACACTGGGGCGTATTTACTAAAGCCGGAGAGTGCAAAATCAGGTTCACTTCTGCTTTAAAACAGCTTCCAGGTTTTATTGCCAAAGCCAAATTGAACAAACTGAGGTTAGAAGCTGATCGGCTTCCAGGTACAGCTACACCAGATTCTGAGTGCACCAGCTTTATTAAATCCCCCCCCCCCCCCCACCAGTGTGTAGAACCCTCCTAGTGGTTTAGATAGATAAGGTTTAGTATGTGTTTTGATAGGTAAATGTAGTTGTCACACTGTAGTCAGTGTGATGGTGATTGTTAGGTAAAAACATAGCTTATACACTGTAATCAGTGTTGCTGTGTTCTGCTTCTTAGGTCTGCTCTGTGTGTTCAACTGCTGCCAGCCTGATGGCTCCCTCTGCATCCAGAAGTCTTGAGAAGTTTCTGGATGATAGGTGTGGAGTTATGCAGATGGCAGCATGAATACTGATACAGCCCTGGTCTATCCCAGAGAGAGAGGCTGTGACGGCATGCTGGCTATTCGGTGAACACATTGAGCTCTGTGTCTTTTTCTGGACATGATTGGTCCAGCCTGGAGGGGGAATGCTGCCCTCCCAGGCAATATGGCTGCATCTGCTGTTGTAGGCCACAGGTGGACGACCTGAGGGCCTGAATGCTGTGACCTAAGTTCTGCTAGAGCTGACTGAGGGGCCGTCGACTGAAGATATGATCTGGTATTATGGAGTAAGCAGGGTCGGACTGACCATTTGGAAACTCGGGCACTGCCCAGGGGCCCGGGTTCAGTAGGGGGCCCCATGAGATGCCCCTGGTACCTTTTTCATAGGCATTTTTGAGTTTGGGCAAGGACACAGGGGCCCCATGATCCCCTATTGCCCGGGGGCCCCATGAGTTGCCAGTCCGCTCCTGGGAGTAAGGCAATCATCTGTTCTTGGGCCTTGTGAGTACAGACATCCCTAAAAGGACTTTGTGCTGCTAAAACCCCTCTGGTGCTAGGTAGTCAGCTGCGGGTCTAACTAAAGGGGACTCTGGCTGGTGTCCTGAAGTACTTAATCTCCTTTTTTAAAGGGACTCTGCTCTAGCTTACTACTACTACTACTACTACTACTACTACTACTACTACTACTACTATTGCTGCCTTAAAGCTGA